CCCCCATAATATGCTGAAATAAAAGAAAAAGAAAAAAAAAAAAAGTAGAAATGGTCTACACATCCAAGAATAAAGAAAGTTCAAGTATACTATAATAGTTGACAGATCATATGACAATTTAAAATGACAGTTATTGCTTCTAGAGGTTAGCAAATGCGGTACTAATTCTGAGTGGTGTGGAAAATAAAATCCTTTATCTTTTCTACTGACGTTGCCTTGATATCCCACATCCCTATGTTCTCCTTCACAGTGTTTCTCAGCCAGGGAGCCAGGGACATTTGGGGCAAAATAATTTTTTGTCCTGTATATTGCAGAAATTTTAGGCTTCCTGGCTCCCTTCCTGTTGAAGTGGGCAAGTAGTGCCTCCAAGTCACCACGACAACCAACAAGCATCCCCAAATTAGGCATTTCTAAATGCCCCCAAAGAAGGCAAAAGGGCTACAAATGAAAATCACTGGCAAAGGGAATTGTATTCCACATATTTATCATCTAAATCAAGTTAATTTAGATTTAGAGTTAACAGGTTCCATAGAAAAGCAAAAATTATAGTTAAAATATTATCACTAATGAGCCAACAATGTACAAAATTAGCCTCTGTTTAAATATCCATCCCCACTTAAGAACAGGCCTATTTACTGCATCCAAGCCTTGGTCCCTCATTCTTCCCCCCTGTCAGCAACATTCAACAACATGAACAGAGAATGCAAAATGAAATCACAAATCTTTTAAAAAGACGCAGGCTACTCCTGAAGGCAATTACATTAATGATGGACAACTGTTGTAACTGCACAGAAAGATACTGATGAACGAGGTTCTGGCAGAGTTAAGGCCAGTTACCAAGAAAGATAACACTGTAGGAGCTTCGAAAGAGAACAGCTTAAATATCAGATGAATAAAAGAGGTCTTTGCAAAAGAACTGAAGAATCTAATATTTTTGCAAAAATTATCCAATTTACAATCCTACTGCAGTCGAATGTGAAATGAAAAATGGTATTACAGTGTTATAGAATTGTCAGAAAAATCCACCAATAAATAAGCTCAAAATTTGACTAATTCTTTTCTTTAAGGAATTAATGCAAAATTATAACCTCAATTTTGTTATATATAAGATAAAAAATCTTTATTGCCTTAGTGTGCTAGAGTCCTCGAAGAGTAACTGCTGACCTTGTTCGCTGGCTGTGGCTCCCAAGGCACAGTCAGTCACCAGGTTAGTGACATGCTTCAGACTGACCTATGCAACTATTAGACTCACTTGTATCCACAAATTAAGGAACAGCATATTTTAACTACTCCTTTAGAAAACCTCTATTATAGGAACGTGGAGATTTCCCAGAGTGTGCTCTCGAGTAACTTTGCTCTTGGCATTGCCTCTTTCTTCCTTAGTGATTTACCCTGGTTCTATGAAATACAGCTAACCATTGCCTCCTGATGGTCTTTGCTGGTTTTCTAAAGAGTTGTTTAATTCAACAAATGAACTGAGTGCCTGCTATGTGGTAGTCACTGTTCTACACCAGTGAACAAT